CCACTTGGGTTGGGTTCAAGTCTAGAGAGGGAGATAGAAGAAAAATGAAAAATGAACGAATTGCAAATGATCCAAATAGGGGTATTTATAGAAACAGAAATGCCTTTTCGGATTGGGTGTATCTCTTCATTATTGGACACAACCATTGCAATAGGTTGCAATGGTTCACATGGTGTCTATTCACCACTAGACACATCTATTCCAATAGGTTGTAATGGTTCACGTGGTGTCTGTTCACCAATAGACACATCCATTCCAATAGGTTGCAATGTGTCTTTTCGAGTGGGTGTAACCATGGGTCATGATGGTTCGGAAAAAGGTGTAACCTTTTGAAAAAACTAAAAGTGGATTTTTAATTTAAAAGGTGTAACCTTTTTAGAAAAACTAAAATATGGTTTTTTAATTTAAAAGGTGTAACCTTTTAGAAAAACTAAAAAGTAGTTTTTTTTTTTTAATTTAAAAAACCGACCACCCAAAAAACCCACTCATTTGTAAAACCCATTTAAATAAGCCCAGCCCAAAATTAGGCCCAATCCAAAATTCCAAAAAAGAATAATCTGGACTTTACAATTAGGCCCAAGCTCAAGCCCAAATCATAAACTCAGCTTATTTAAATTTCAATTTGTTTCAACATTTTTTTCATGTGGAACAAACACTTCCCACATTTTGCATACCCATTTAGGCTTATCAAAACACCACACTTTGGAGCTAATTTCTCATTCATCCAGAAACGGATTTCAGAAAGTAAATATACCACATTTATCTCCTTATGGAGAGAAACGGGCTTGTCTAGAGATCCGTAAAAAATTATTAACGGAATCTATTTCAAATCTCATCCAAAGTTTATGTTTTTAATGCCCCCGTTTCCAACATTGAGTTATCCAGAGGACAATGCAATCAGGAAAGCCCATTAGTTTCAGTGTATCAATTATGAACTGCGGTGCAAATTGTCAAAAGCTTTTTTAAGGTCTACTTTCAATGCACAATTGGGAGGATGAGAGGATTTATGGTACCCATTAAAAAGCTCATGTGCCAAAATTATTTTTCTGAAATATGCCTGCCTTTAACAAAGGCATTTTGAGAAGGACTAATGAGAAAGGGTAATGCAGTGCTGATTTTAGAAGCAATAAGCTTTGATATGCATTTATAGATTAAGTTGCAACAAGATATGGGTCTGAAGTCAAGAACTGTTGTTGGGTTAGGGATTTTAGGAACAAGTGCAATGTATGAACAATTAATTTCTGTGAGCAATTTTCCAGAAATGAAAAAATCTTTAATGGCAGCAAAAACTTCAGGACCAATTATAGGCCAAGAGTGAATGAAGAAGTTGGTATTGTATCCATCAGGTCCTGGACTTTTAAAGGGGTGGAAAGAGAGTAAGCATTGTTTGATTTCTATGTCAGAAGGAATGGCTGTTAGGGATGGGATGAGGTGAGGTGGGACAGTTTTGGTAATAAGGTGGGAGAAGGAGGCCATACCTGGATAGTGCTGTTCTGATTGACCAATTGAGCTCTGAAAATGGTTGAGAAATTCTTGTTGAAGATCCACACCTTGAAGCTGGATTCCATTAACATCAAGAATAGATTCCACTTTCCTTCTGTTGCATTTTGTAGAGAAGTTCCTCATAAAAAATGCAGTGTTTTGATCCCCTTCTTTTAACCAATGGATTTGAGCCTTCTGTTTGTAAAACAATTCCTCTGCAAGGCACAATTCCAAGAATTTATCCACCAATTGCTTTTCTCTGAATCTCAGCTGCTCATCAATAGGATTCTGGTCAAGGCTGGATTGACATGAATAGAGATCCTCCCTACAGACTTGTACTCTTGATGAAATCTCACTGAATTCTTTTTTGTTCAACTGTTTGAGTGATCCCTTAAGAGCTCTAAGCTTCTGGACCACCCTAAACATTTTTGTACCCTGAATATCAAGCTGCCATCCTTGAGCAACAATCGAGAGGAAATCTTTATGGAGGGCCCAGAAATTAAAGAACCTAAAAGGCAGGTTCCTTTTTGGATTAACATCCCCAAAACTAACCACCATTGGAGCATGGTCTGAGACTCCCCATGGCTTAAACCAACATTCAGATTGTGTAAATTTGGACATCCAAACATGATTCACAAGGACCCTATCCAACTTTCTTGAGATATTGGCACATCCAAAACTTTTATTTGACCAAGAATGAAATATACCCTTATACCTTAAGTCATCAAGTTCATTTTTACTCAAACAAGACCTGAATTCCTCCATTCCAGTGGTCCACCTGAGAGCTCCACCAAATGAGTCATTGAAATGTAGCAAGACATTAAAATCCCCCAATAGGATCCAGGGAGTATTTGATTGTCCAAATAAATTAAGACTTCTCCACAAGTTCTTTCTTTCCATTGCTGTATTTGCAGCATAAACAAAAGATGCCTGGCATCCTAGCTTCAAATCAGTAAGAAAGACATTACAATTGATGACCTGACTTGTCATACTTGAGGTTGTAATTGTTAATTTTGCTGGATTCCATAGCAGCCAAACTCTACCTAGTACTGAGTTTTGGTAGTTGCAGACAAAGTTCCAATTTGGAACAATAAAGTTGTGAACAGCTTCAGCATTCTCAGGACTGACCTTAGTTTCAAGGAGAGCTATAAGACTCAAATCTGAATCCCTAATGAGATTCTTAACCTCTACTTGTTTGAGGGGAGAGTTCAACCCTCTTATATTCCAAGCAGCCCAATTCATTGAGATGAGGAAGAGAGGTTGCACATTCCCCTAAACCCCTTCAAGGTAACAACTTTCCCCTTCCCATTCTTCTTCTTGTTCTTGGAGAATTTTGGCTTTCTTGGTTTGATTAGCTTGCCCTCCAAGGGGGAGTAAGCATGATCATTATTATCAGATTCATAAGCAGAGGATTGGCTCACATTATCTTCCACAAGCTCATTCCCATGCTCATCAAAATTTCTGTCATTGAGGGCAGCAAAAGGATTAGCAGTGTTTAGTGGTTTTGATGCCAGACATTTCCTTGGAATGGTAGGGGCACTAGATAAATCCACATATAAACAAATCTCCTTTCCCTTCTCTGAGTTTACAATCTCACATGTTGTAGGGGCTGTTGGAGGATTATCCTGAGGAATTGTAGTGCGAACTGCTGGTGGAATATCAAGGGCAATAGTTGGTGAATCAGAAATGATAGGTTCAGGTTCATTGTTGGGAGGGGAAGGTCTAGATTTTGATTTTTTTGGAGTTCTTTCTAGAGACGAATTCCCACTTTTGGGGATGTGATGAGCTACTGGCTAGATGGCTTAAAGGGGGTGTGCAACTAGAAGTGCAGCTCTCAAGTGAATGCCCAAATGAGTTACAAGAAGAACATGAGAGGGGTTTCCAGGGATATAGTACCTTGATTTCAGCAAGAGTGCCATCATTCTTTCGAACATGAAATGAACTGTCCAGTGAAGAGTGTGGATAAACCTCAACACAAACTTTCACATAATCAATTCTGCTTCTATTTATGGTGTTTGCGTCTGCAAAAAGTGGTCTCCCAATTGCGCTTGCAATGTAGCTTAGTCCCTTAGGAGTCCAATACTGGAATGGAACATTATACAGCTGAATCCAAATAGACAGAGGACTAGAGTGATCTTTTGGTTTTGGATCTGGGGACCAAGCTTCTAGTGTCACTGCTTTCCCTGCAAGATACCACTGTCCACCTGCAAGGATGCTTCTGCAACTTTCCACTGAGTCAAATCTGAAGTAGAAGGTTCCCATTGGAGCTCCCCATAACATTTAACAAGCCCCTTTTTGCCCAAAGTTTATTGGCCATCTTGGATATGAGGCTGTAAGGCATCCTTCGCTGAAAGGTTCCCACCAGACAAGAGTGCCAAAACAGAGCACCTTCATCACCAACCTCATCAGGCAGCTCCACAATTTTGCCAGTTTCACAGCTTAATGGTTCATGATAATCAAAGCACCAATCTTCTTTAGCATCTTGAGCAACTTTAGACCAAGTGCGAGGTGCATCATCTCGGACCTGTTGAGGGGATGTTTCAGAGACGTGGGATCCACCAGCTGGAGTGTGAGGATGTTGGGCCGGTTCATGAACAACTTCCATTCCCTTGACAGTTGAGTGGGGGCGAGTGGTTGTAATTTCTGGTTAGGTTGGAACGAGAAAGAAAGAGAAGGTTCTTGGTTACAGTTGGGATTTTGAGTTTGGGTGAGGTAAGGTCATGTCTGTTTTCCACTGTAGTGTCATTTTCCTCCAGACTGGCATCCTCAATATCCGGGATAAAAGTATTTGAATTTGAATTTGAATTTGGAGGGCCCCGGTCAAACTGTACTACTGGGATGGTCGGCACGTGATCATGAGGTGATGTGTGAGTATCCGGGAGCGAAGCTTTTCCGGTTGGCCGGAGCTCTGCCACGATCTCATTCAATTCAAGAAACAACTTCGAAAAGCCTGATGCTTCCTTGATCATATCGTGCGCCTTTGCAAGTTCCATTTCCTTCTCTTGAAGTAGAGACTTGAGTCTTGCTACCTCCTGAATAAGATCAAGCTTTGAGGCCTCCATAATAGTTGCGTCAATGCCTTCTGGTAAGAGAACCACATCACTGACCTCGAGCCCATTGGGGTTAAGAAATCTGTCATTTTGCAGCGCGATCCTGACCTTTTCCTTTGTAAAACCTGAAACTGTAGGAGAGCGTGACCAATAATCAGAGGAAAATTCATTTACTGTTTTTGGAGAGAGAGTGGTCTTGGATGTAGGTGGAGATGTGGGGGGCGTGGGAGTCGTGGGTGGTTTCCTTGGGAGTTTTGGTGGTAAGGGAGGTTTGGATGGTGAGGGGTTCTTTTTTGAAACTGATATGGGTGCCGGTGGTGTGGGTTTAACAGTTGGGGAATGTTTGGTTGGAGTGGGTGATTTTGACTGTGATAAGGTCACAGTAGATTTGGGTTTGACACAGTGATATGGCTGGAACGGCGGTTTCAGATGGTTTGGTGGCCGGCGAGGAGGAGGTGGGTTGGGAGGTTTAATCGAAAACTTGCTAAATGGATCCATGCCTGATTGGATGCCAAAACATAAAGCCGCCATGTAAGTTCCTCTTCAAAGATCCTTTACATTAATATTGTCAGTGTTGCTATCTAGTGAATCATCAATGTATCTTTGCATTGTTTAAAATTACTACTAAGATATACACGTACAGACACCTTAACTAGGACTCAGATGTATTCATTATTATTTATTTTAAATTTCTTTCAGTTAATCATCTAAAATACATTAAACATAATTCTTATTGTCATTCTCATTAAAGAGGATCATAATATATGCAGTGATATTTCATACAACAACTTTACAATTGATCAATCAGGACCATCTCCAACATGTCAATTACAGAAAGTGTAAGATTACTTGCAAGTTCTTACTTTTAAATCATTATTATTTTTCTTCAAACCAGCCTAACTTTTCACTCTGTTTATTTTCTTCAGAAACTTGTTCAGCAGCTCTTCAGCGGGCAACACATGGTAAATTTCTAAAGCATTAGAAGAATTTCCGTCATAAAATTCTCCATCATTTGCATTACGTTACTGAGTACATGCTTCAATTTATTATATTGTTATTACAAAAATTCTAAAATGCGATGCTAATTTGTTCCTAATGCCACGTTGCTTTTTCAGTGGAATTGTTTCATGCATGAGAAGTGTTGTTTGTCCACGAAGTAAGTAAAAATGTCATCTGCTCTTTTAGATGGTTAGTGTCACAAAGTTCTCATTTTTATTCTTTATTTCTTATTATTTTATTTTGCCACAGCAAGGAAAGACTCATCTAGGTCACTTATATTATCATACATCATAATAAATAAGTTTTCATCTCTCCGAGTCACCAAAAATCCCACGAGTGCAACCAAAGCCATGTGTTCCTCTTTGGGTTTCTTTTTCTATTATTTTCTTTTTTTTATTTGCTTTAATAATTTTAATTCAATTGTTGACGAGATTCTTTAATAAAAGATGTTGATTTTGAACATGCGCCAGTTGATCAACCAAGGCTATTGTCCTGCCATCGGCAATAGTGAACAATAAACCTGTTTATGCAATTCTCACTTTTAAGAGAACTTTACTTTTCAGGGCTATTTAGTGTTTTGGCATTTTCAAGAAAGTAAGTGTGACAATGTACATGATGTCGCAATGCTTATCTGGACACCCCCTTGATAGATTAGTCTCAAAATTTAGAGAGGTTTCAATTGAGTAGGTGGATAAATTTGGGGGGGGAGGGGGGGGTTACTTTTTGTTTCTGTGTGCGCGCGCGCGCTGGTGACTAATAAACTTATTTTTTGGTCTCAGTTTCTCTCCTCTCCCTGACTTACTATGGATTCTGTCTGCAAAATGGAAACTACACAGTAGGGCTTCACTTTGCGAAGATCAGGTTTACTGATTGACAAAAAATATTCCAGCCTTGGAAGGCGCATATTTGACATTTACCTTCAGGTAGATTTTCACATTTTTTTCTTATCAACAATTGGTAGAAAAAGCCTATTTATCTGACACTCATGATGTTAATGAGTTGAGAATCCGTTATCTATAAAATAAAAATTGATCATCTACTAAAAGATTTTATTTTATTTTATTTTATCTAATTTGGGCCATTTAGATTTTTCATCTTTACCATGCCAAATTCAGGATTTTCAATATTGATTTTCAAGATTTTTCATCTTCACAGCATAAAAGTTACAGCTGTATTTAATTAAAACTGTGCAGCGAGAGCGGGTGCTGAAGGATTTCAATATTGAAAGTGAAGCCGTTGGTGTTGGTAAGGCAATCATAAGAAATTTTGTTGCAGCAGTCACTAATGGTACGTTGGAAATCCGCTTCTACTGGGCTGGAAAAGGGACAACAGCTATCCCTGTTAGAGGTGTATATGGTCCTCTAATTTCAGCTATTTCTGTGGATCCTGGTGAGTAGTATACTTTTTGTGAGGTTTTCTATTCATAATAGTGTTAATGGTTGGGAACTGCCCCATACTTTCCACAATATGGTTTCAAGTTTACTTTCATATGTAACATACTGATTGTAAGAGAGGAAATTGATTCACGTTGTTAGAGATTACAGTACTGATTTTTGAAAAAACAAATGAGTCTTTTTGGTTTTTATCTTAATATCATATACAATGTCTTTTTCTTTTCTTTTTGGCTTTTTTTTTTTTTTCATTGTTGGCTGAATGTGTACAACTTCAGGAGATGACCTGAACTCGAAGCCCAAAGGATCTGTTTTTGGTGAAATTCCATTTTTTTTTTTGTAATTAATTATTGAAAAACCATTAGATAATGGAATGGTTTCCTATGTATATGTTCCTTCTGCAGCTCTTTTATGACCCTTTGAAAATGTCAAACAGATCATCATACCAGTAAATATATTTTTATGTTCAGGTTATTGTGAAATATTAACAATAAGCTTCGTTTGTTTCGACGTAAAATATTTTATTTGTTTAGGTAAAATATTTTTTTTATTTGTACTTTCCGGTGTTTGACAAGGGTCTAGGTCGAGATTGAGGTCAAGTCTTTCGAGTTAGGCGTATAAAATAACTTATCAAAAATTGATAGATAAATTATTTTTGTAAAATATTAATATATTTTTCGTTTGTAATTACGACAAACAAATACCAGAAAATAAAAAAAAATATTTTTTGAAAAATATTTTACATCCAAACAAACGGAGCCTAAAAAGTGCATAAAATTCTCTTCATCTTTCTTTCTTTTTCTATGCTTTTTTTTCCCTTTTTGTTTGGACTTCTTTGAAATATTATTAATGGCTGAATAATTTGTTTCCGCAAGCGGATTTTGTTCGATTTTCAGAACATGGAAAAAGTTTATCAGCAGGTTATGTGGCTGGAATTGTGGTTGCAGTTGCATTCATTACCTTCGTGATTCTGGGAATCCTTTGGTGGAAAGCAGGCTGCCTGCGATTGAATGATACAATGGATAAAGGTATTTGCAAACCATTTAGGCAAGCCCCTGATAACTATGAGAAATAGTAATTTTAAATATCATCATCATCATCATCATATTCTTCCTTTATGAGGAAGCTAAATGGCTTTGTTCCTTGTGTTTTATAGATAGTTTTGTCATTATGAGTGCTGTGTAACGGTATATGGATGTCTCTGTACATTTCAACACTTTTTATGAAATTTTTTTGTTTGGATATCGGCCTGTTTAACACTTGGTGCTGCAGCAACGGCTTGGTTCTCTTTTAGGCACAGATATCTGGATCTAGTGTAAAGAACTGTTTTAAAATGTTAGAAATGCCGGTTTTATAGACATACTACTTATCTAACTTAATTTCTTTGACAGATCTGAAGGGTCTTGACCTACCGACTGGTTCATTTACCATACGACAAATAAAAGCTGCCACAAACAATTTTGATGCTGCTAATAAGATTGGAGAGGGTGGTTTTGGCCCTGTTTACAAGGTAGGATTACTTTCATTATCATTTTAATGTTTTAAGCTATAATAGTGATGCTCTTTCCTTAAAAAAGAAAATCTAATGCGAAAATCTTTTTTATTTTTCAAATGAAGGGACTTTTGTCAGATGGCACTATAATTGCTGTGAAGCAGCTTTCCTCCAAATCGAAGCAAGGAAACTGTGAATTTTTTAATGAAATAGGCATGATTTCTGCGTTGCAGCACCCTCATCTTGTAAAGCTCTATGGGTGCTGTATTGAAGAAAATTAATTGTTGCTAGTATACGAGTATATGGAAAATAACAGTCTTTTTCGTGCTTTATTGGGTAAACTTAATACACATGCTTTGCTTTATTGCTTTTGGTATCAGACCACAAATAGACAGACAGACATTATTTATGCATGTATGCTTTAGCTGATTAGTTATGTTTTTGGTATCAGACCACAAAATTGTGCATGTTGTCTTGAGTCTTGACGCTGATTAAACAAATTCACCTCCTCTCTCTTAAACTCTCACCGCTCTCTAAACGCGTTGTGTGCGTGTGAGGTATTATTAAAAGAAAAAATCAAATCAATTGAAATTCACTTTGATTAAATGAATTGAACAAGAGCACATTCCATCAATTTCTCATTATCATATTCAAAGCTTTGATGGGCATAAAGAAATCGTCTTGGTAGCAACCACCAATCCAATAGAAACAAGGGTTCGCTCTGCTGCTGGTCTACAAGCAAGGTAAGTAGGTCCATTACCGGCCGGCTCCGGCCCAAAAAGACCTAACGGAGTCATCCCTTATCTTGGATCGGAGATGCTAACGGGGCAGGAATCGGGGACCTCTGTTCAGGGGTCAAGAACCAGAGCATCATTTATCTGCAATGGAGGAGGTTGATTGTTAAGGAAGATGAACGAGAATGGAAGGTCCGAATAATGCATCACTGGAGCTGCATCAGCTGGAGGCTTCCATAAGCTCAGCCAGATGTGTACAAGTATTTTTGCTACCGTGCAAAGCAACCGGAACACCAATTAGGTGCTTCCAAATTTGGCCTCTTTTTCATAAACATTTCGATAATATTCAAATCGCTGCAATCATTACCTGACACATTTCCGCCTTTTACTTCACTACAGTACATTATCACAAGAAAAAACGATTACCAAATATGGCCTTAGGTTTTTTACTCCGTATTAACTTCAAAATATAGTACAACGTTTGTTACTGGTATATTTGTCTGGCTAAAATATATTTTTGTTTTTTTAGAAGTCACGTCTTTGATTCCATCTATCTGTAAGTTGCGCTGTATTCGTAATTTTCCCTATAAATAACTGGAATGTACCAACGCGCATACCTGTGTTTAACGTTGCAGCAGTGGAATCGTTGAAAGAAATAGCAAAGACGGATTGGAATTTCAGTGTAGATCCATGCAGTGGAGAATTGGGTTGGTTCACGAAAAATCCAAAATTACATTTTGAGAATGCTGTCACCTGTAATTGCTCCTACTCCAATGTCACCGTCTGCCATGTTGTTAGCATGTAATCTTGCTAAACATATCAATAATTTGAATTTTTTTTTTATTTTTATTTTTTTATATAATCACTTTTTCAAATAAAATATGTACTATAATTGTTAAAAGAATCTTTGAATCTCTTAGATGGAAATTAACACGCAGTCCGATAGCCTGACAGTCCAACTAGGGATGGTAAAACACCTTACCACGTCAAGTACTTGCCTCATTCCGCTTCATTTAGATCGGTTATGCGGATTGTTAAATGGTTTTTGGGCGAGGATAAGGTTAGGATTGAAAACTCGTGCGGTCGTGGGCGGGATGGGGAAAGGTCATCCCACCCCATCCTGTTTATAGTGATAAATTACAATTTTTACCTTATAGTTTTAATTAATTAATTTATTTATTAAATATTAGGTATGCATTAAGCAAACCCCTAGATTATCCTTTTCTAATCATTTATTATTCTTATTTGAGAAGGTTATGTATTATTTTGATATTTCTACTATAAAGTTGAATCTGAGTTCCAATTGATATTTGAATATTTATCTTATTGGCATAAGAGAGAATAATTATTACAATTGTTGAAAAATTATTTCATTCATTATTTACCTTTGTAGTACAATTATAAAACTCTCCTAAACCTCTTCACGCCCCGCCCTATATAATAAATGATTTTGGGCGGGGATGGAGGAGGTATGCTATACGGGAAAGAAAATGGGGTTGGTGTCCCTTACCCCAAACTCACCTTGTTGCCATTTCTACTACGTCTGACTGTTTTATGTGAATGGAAATGACGTCATATCATGATATCAGTCATTATACTTACATCATTCGTCACTCGTATAAATGTATCGTATAATTGCATCGAATTCGTCCGAAAATCGACGATCTGTCACTACTCCTCTTACAAAGATAAATATTGGGTGGGTACCCTTACACCCCAACGATTGGTTGTCGGCTTTTAGTCTTTGGGTTGGGCTTGGTCTATGCCATTTAGCCTTCTAGGCATTTGTTTTGTTTGGGTTGGACCTCTTAGACTTGGTCTTGTTACATTATAATAGCAAGTATCAACATCAAGAGTAATGTTAAGGGCACAAAGTCACAAAACTCCCTAACCCCACTGTGCCTGTTAGCCTGAGCAGTCACCAATTCTTCTATAAATAGCCACATAATTCATTTGCAAAAGAAATTCACTTTCATTTTACGTTCTGAAAATCCCCTCCTCTTTCCCAACACCACTTGAACCCAAGTGGCTTCAAGCCATGTAGTCAAATGGTTTACGCCAAATGGCTAGGACCAAATTCAATTTCCATATTACTTGTAGAATTCCATTTTTGTTCTAGCCATATGGTCCAGAAATATGTGGAATTCACCACCTATCCCCAAAAAAAAAAAAGAAAAAAAGTCATATTGTTGAATGTTGAATCAAAGAAAAATATGTGGAATCTACGGGCAATAATACATGCAACAATAGCTCACTTGTTTTCCATCTATATGTGGAATCTACAGGCAATAGGGTTCTTGAATGTTGAATCAAAGAAAAATAAAAACCAAGCCACCATATCTACATGTGGAATATGCATGCATGTGAAATGTCACACGAGTAGAAATTAACCTTTTTAAAAAAAACAAAAAAAAAAAATTGAAATGTTACATCACATAAACACCGCCTATAAATAAAAACAGAGATTTTTATTTTCAATCTGTTAGTATTTGAGTTGGATTTGTGTTATAAAATTATTTGGTGCATGTTCTTAAATGATTATTATAAAATAAAAATAAATAAAAATGAATTTTTAGTTATAGCTTTGTGTTTATATAACATTAATAATTAAATTAACCACTTACTTCACTGGTGTGTATTAATCTCGAACCACATACAAACTAATGTGAAAATGAAGTTTCTAGTCTTAGAAATTGGTAATTATATGTAGGGTTATTCAGATGCATATATATATATATATATATATATATATATATATCCAACCATCTTTTCAATCATTCTTTCATATATGTCGGTCGGTATATATATATATATATATATATCCAACCATCTTTTCAATCATTCTTTCATATATGTCGGTTGGTAAGACTATTCCTTGTGCATGTATGTGTCGTCTTCCACGAGTTGAGGTCGTCTTCACTCTCCCTATCTCTCTCTCTCTTCGAGAAAAGTATTACTGGTCAAAGTGTTCCCCATCTCTCTCTCTCTCTCTCTCTCTCTCTCTCTCTCTATTACCATTATTAAGTCTTCCCTCTCTCTATCTCTCTCTCTCTCTTCAAGAAAAGTATTACCATCCCATGCCACTTCTCTCTAGTATAATCCATTTTAGCATTTGGTTCATTTCATCATCTCATTTTTAGCTTTACGTACCTACTTAATTTACTAGAACATGTTCTTCTCACGACGACGTCTTACTTTTTCAGTTATTGTATTAATTTGCTTGGCCACTTTTGCATCTGGCGAACCTTCTCTTCCAACAGATGAAGGTATGTGTGTTTGTGTGTGTGTGTGTTTGGTTGTTGAGTTCTTTCATTTAGATTTTGATAAACTTCAAAATAGTAAGGTTTGATATATATGAAGAAAGAAATGAGGGGTACATATATGTATGTAAGTGATCATATAGTTCTGTGTATATAAGATTTATAAATAATTGATATGTATACAGGACGGTCCGGACGGAGCTAAAAAAATAGTGTGAGGGGGTAATAGTGTAATTTTTGACAGTAATGTAATTTTATAGATATATATATCAAAATGAATAAAAAAGTAGGATACATTACAATATATATATATATATATATATATATATATATTCAGTGGGGGAATTGCCCCTCCCTGTATATATATATATATATAAAAGCATTTGTGTTTTACATTTTTGCAGTGGAATTATTGAAAGAAGTAGCAAAGACGCTTGGAAAGACTGATTGGAATTTCAGTGTAAATCCATGCAGTAACGATTCGGGTTGGGTTACCGAACAAGTTGGAGAATATAAGAATGAAGTAACCTGTAATTGCACCATCTCCAATGACAACGTCTGCCATGTTGTTAGAATGTACTCTCTCTCCTCTCTCTCTCCACATGTTCGTCTATCCTTTTCTGTTTTCATTTATCCTCTTATTTTAATTTTTTTTTTTTTTTAATTCTGAATATGAAATGTGTCAGTGTCAAATAACTGACCCTGTGCATACATACTGATACGGATACAAGTCTTATACTTTTTAAACTTATCCATAAGTTTAATATATATATATATTTTGTATCTCTAAGACATTAAATTTTAAAATTTCCAGATATAATATCGTTAGAAAAAAAGGAAAAAAAAAAAAAAAGAAACTGAGAATTTCTAAACTAAATAAGTATTAAGACATTGCGGTTTGATAAAACTGAAAATTTCAAGGATTTTAAGCGCTGAAACTTTAAGCACGGAATGTATTAATTTAAAAACCTGTTTGATTACATTTTAATTTTAAGTGCTGAATTCATTAAAATTATTTGTTATATACAAAAGCTAAAGTTTAAAAGTTATACATATTACATTTTTGCCCTCAATATCTGATACTCATAATAGTTTTATATTTATAATACAAAAATATTAATAAAACAACCACATTCACTCAATAAAATAAATAAATATATGGATTTTGTATTACATAATATTTAAAATATATGAGTTTTGGATTGAATAATATTTAGGTAGGGTATTGAAAAGGGTGTTACAAAGATTAAGGAAAATACTTGAAAAATAATTCTTATTTAGGAAAAAAAAAATTATTATATAAATATTTGATGGAAATTTTAAATATAGGATTACATAATATTTATGTAGGTATGGTGTTACATAAATTAAAGAAAGTAAAATTACATAATATTTATGTAGGGTAATAAAATATGTGTTACAAAAATTAAGGAAAGTGAAAAAGAATTCTTATCT